CCCCCCCGCCATTTTCACCTGTCCCTGGGCTGGGAATTTCTATGTCCTTTAAGTCACAGGAGAGAGATTTTTGGGTGAAACACAGCCTCAGCTTTGGTCGAGTTATTGAACTCCAAGGGCCTGGCCACAGTAGCTGCAGAAAAGTCCCTGAGATCTTTCCCAAGGGGATAAGAGATTGGTGGGAGTGCTTGCTCATGAAATGGCAGGGGACTCTCTTACCTTTAAAGCCCTTAACTTTGTAAATCTCTGAGTTTTGTGTGGGGGCTACTAGAGGTCACAGCCATACAATGTTGCTATACAATGTTGGGGCCAGGTGCACCCCCAAACAGGGCCTAATTTCCTTTGATTAATTTGTTTCTGGGGGAGGAGGAATTAACATCTCTATCCCTTTCAATCACAGGAGCTTTTCTGGTGTGTGTTTATGTAGCCAGCCCACAGCACTCTGACCAGGCTCCCCAAGGCAACTGAGAGGCTTTTTCCATTGAGGAAACAGAAGCAGGGATGTAGCATGGACCAGGGAAACCTTCTACCCTGATGCAGGAAGCTGCAGCTTGCTTTGTGAGGGAAGAATGCCAGTGGCCTTGGGTGTAGGAAGTTCTTGCCTGGTTGCTCATTCTGTTGAGTACCTGGTGCCCCTGAATATTGCAGGTTTGCCTCTGTGAGAGAGGACAGTGAAGGGAAGAACTCCTTCAAGGACTATTACAGCTGTTTTCAAGCTCGCTAGATCACTTCCTATAGCTATGGCTGAAGAATATCAGCTATACCTCATTGCATAGTCCTTGTAAAATCCCAACCAGACAGCTGGTAGGAGAGTTCTTTTCCAGTCTTGCTTTCTGGATGTTTTGCTGAGCAGGTAAACCCTAGTAATTTCCTCTGAGCTGTGAGGAATGCCTTGACACACTTCCAGGGCTGCAGGTGGGGAGGCTGGCAGCCCCAAACCCTGCCTCTCCTCCACTCGCCTGGTGTAGTTGGAGGGGAAATCTGTGAAGTGTTTGCTTCCAGAGGAAAGTTGCTCATTGCCACAGGCTTGAAACATGAGCTTCAAGGTAGGAGTCAATTTTTCTGTTCAGTGACCTTTTCCTTTTCCACCCAAAAGCCATGTTGAAGTTTAACTTACAAAGATGAGGTGTGAGGACTGAGGTGCTCCTTGCATTTGGAATAAGAGTGTAGTCAAAACCAGATGGTTACAGCAGTGTTCTCTCTCATACTGGGAATCCAAGGTTCTAAGTCAACATGTTCTAGAGCAACCACTTTTAACAGAAGCAAACAGATGTCTGGCCTGTGCTTTTCAGCTCTAGAGGATTTTTTGTACTCTGTGTGCTGCCAGCATCACATGTTGCTGCAGTGAGGGCTGGGTGGCCATATTACAGGTGATGAGGATCAGGCTGGATGGTGGGTATTACAGGCATGTGGAGTGGAGCTGCCCATGTACCAGTAGCCCACCACCTGTCTCTTTCTCCACAGATTTTGCCTTCCCTTCGTGCTGGCTTCCCTCCCTACGATGGCTACAGGTGAAGAGATAGCCCCTGCCCTGCAGGACTCATGGGGGGACTTCTGGCTCTTCCGTTTCTTTGTTAATGCTGCTGGCTACGCGAGTATTGTGGTACCGGGCTTCCTCCTCATCCAGTACTTCAAGAGAAGGAACTACTTGGAGACAGGTAGGAGTGGGGACTTCCCTTCCACATCCTGCATCCCTTGGAGCTCTCTACCCTGCCTCTCTCTGCTCACTCATATTGTTTCCCCAACCTGCATTGTCAGGCTTGAGCCACTCACAGAGCTGTGTCCCAGTGGTGTTGAGCTGCTATCCTGAAACAGATTTTTCTGAGGCACCTGTGCCAGGAGATCTGGGGACTAGTGAGGAGGGAGACTTCACCTCTCAAGCTAGTGCAGCATGTGGTGCCCAGGCTTTGGTTACTTGTGTCTCCATCTTCTCTTACCCTGTTCAGGCCGAGGCATATGCTTCCCTGTCATCAAATCATGTGTGTTTGGCTCTGAGGTGAAGTCTGTACATCAGGACGATGGCTCCCTGCCACCCCGAGCAGAGCCCACAGAATCCTCCACAGCCCGACAGGTCTTCAAGCTGTTCTGCTGTGCTGCTGGTCTACAGGTAGGGGTCCTGTGCATGTGTGGCTGTCCCATTATGGAAGGAGAAAGTGGCCAGTGGGCTAGTGGCTGTCAGTTCCTTGAAGACCAAGGATGCAGTGCTGTCCTTGATCAAGGTAGGGTTGGAGGCTGGCACAGGATAGTCTGTGGAGGTCCATTTAGCTCTTGTCATTTGGGTTGGAGTACCCTGTCTGTCTGATCAAATTCCTTCAGAGCCTTTGAAAATTCTGTGATTCAGTAGATTGTTAAGGCTGCTTTTGTTCTGGCCCTGATGTCAGATCAGCAGATAGTTTGAGCCATCTTTTTTTCCAGGCTCTCTCATGGGTCACTGTCTGGGGGTGATGCATTCTGCCTTGATGGATTGAATTTGAGTACTGGAGAGAAAATACTTAAATTCAGCTACAGATAAACAGGAATTTAAAATCTTAGATTCCCCAAGTCTCAGCTACATCCTGAGTATCATTAGGAAGGGCAACCTTTTTGGTCTGTGAGGGTAAAAAATAGCAATGTGCGCACTGAGATAGAAAAATCCAGATGTCCTGCAGCCAGGAAACAACATTCTCTGGCCTACTCCCCCAGCCATTCAGACTTGTGGTGGGCCACTGAACTCTTCCATCTCTCTGTGTCTTAGTTTCCTGGGAGATGTGTGATGAGAGGAAGTCTGTGTTACTTCTGTGAGGGGCTTGGTGTTGTTGCACCAAAATGAGTGGAGATGACAACCAGGACAGTGATCATCCCTTATGAACAATTTTGTCTGCTGGGTTTGAAACTAGAATTGATTTGGATGTAAAAACCAGGCCTAGGGAGCTGGAAGTGAAAACTAATGCAGAGGCCGCTGGGAAAACTGCCAGGACTTGCCGTAGGTAGCTGGCACCAAAACCACAGCTGTGTATTGGTAATGTTCCCTGATTCGGTCAGTCTGGTTTCACAGGCTTAAAGTAGTTCAAAGCCTAATTGCTCACTCTCACCAGGATGTTTGCATTGTGGGCTTTTCTCCCCTGTACACTGAACAGGTGTGGTTTGGGACAGGATGTTCCTGGGTGTAACCACATGGGACAGCGGGTTCCTTCATGTGTGGAGTGGGGGTGTTCTTGTCTCCCAGTGTCTCAGGGAAGCATTGTCATGCAGAGGATGAGGCAACAGTGGGGAAAGGAAGGATCTCCTGGGGTCTGTTCTTCCTGGCAACTGCTGTTGTGGGTCTTGACTCTCCCTGTGCTCCTGCTGCTTTGCAGGCTTCCTACCTCACATGGGGTGTCCTCCAAGAGCGTGTAATGACGAGAACGTATGGTGCCACTGAAACAGACCCTGGTGAGAAGTTCAAGGACTCCCAGTTCCTCGTATTCATGAACCGCATCCTGGCCTTCACAGTGGCTGGTCTGTACTGTGCCCTGACCAAGCAGCCACGCCATGGGGCTCCTATGTACAAATACTCCTTTGCCTCCCTCTCCAACATCCTCAGCAGCTGGTGTCAGTATGAGGCACTCAAATACATCAGCTTCCCCACCCAAGTGCTGGCCAAGGCCTCCAAAGTGATCCCAGTGATGATGATGGGCAAGTTGGTGTCACGCAAGAGTTATGAGTACTGGGAGTACCTGACTGCTGCCCTTATCTCCGTGGGGGTCAGCATGTTCCTGCTCTCCAGTGCTCCTAACAGGACGGTGTCCACTGTCACCACTTTCTCTGGCATAGTGCTCCTAGCTGGCTACATAATCTTCGACAGCTTCACCTCCAACTGGCAGGATGCTCTCTTCACCTACAAGATGTCTCCCGTGCAGATGATGTTTGGCGTTAATGTCTTCTCCTGCCTTTTCACTGTGGGCTCACTCTTGGAGCAGGGTGCCTTGCTGGAGTCAATGCGCTTCATGGCCCGCCACTCGGAATTCACTGCCCATGCTGTGCTGCTCTCTGTGTGCTCTGCCTGCGGCCAGCTCTTCATTTTTTACACCATCAACCAGTTTGGGGCAGCTGTCTTCACCATCATCATGACACTCCGACAGGCCTTTGCCATCCTCCTCTCCTGCCTCATCTATGGGCACACTGTCACTGTTGTGGGTGGGCTGGGCATAGCTGTTGTCTTCATGGCCCTCTTTCTCCGTGTCTATGCCCGCAGCCGCATGAAGAAGCGCAGTAAGAAGCTCCCGCTGGGTGAGACCCCTGTACAAAAGGTCTAAGGAAGCTGAGGCCATGGCATTTAAGCCATGCCCACTGTCCTGCCACAACTTGAGGGTATTTGCTTGATTTCTCAGAACTCACTGAGAAGAGTGGGGTATGGATCGGCAGGACCAGTGACTCAGTTTTCCTGGGAAAGGGGCTGGAACAAGCCCAGGAAATGCTCTGGGCTGACACAGCTCCAAACCTTTCCATTTGCCTTAATAGGTCAAAGACTTAGAGCCAAGGCACAGGCCTGGGGGCACACCAGCATGGGGCTGCTGGTATTCCTGCCCCACCTCTGTCCTGTGGCTTCTCCCCCAAAGTCACTGATGAACAAGGGAATTCTTCCCTGTCACTGTATTGCCTCTGGCTAATGCTCCTCCATTTCTGTTAGTACTACAGAGCTTGGCAGGAGGAAAGGGCAAGCAAAACACTAGGTTTCTTTCTGAAACACCCCTGAGTGAGGCATCCCAAGCTGGGCCCATCAAAGGGTGGAGAATGCTCTTCCTGCATTCCAGGAGAGGCTCTGAGTGGTACAGGTATAGCCAAGGGAAGGACTCCCAGCCTGTCTTATCCCAGGCCTGGGATCTGCTCTGGGAGAACACTGCAATGAAAGCCAGTGTCTCCCAGTTTGGTTTTATCAATTCTTTGCCCCTGCTCCAAGACACTTTTCTTTGCTCCCCTCAGCCCAGACTGATTTCTATGCAGCACCTGAGCTGGACAGTTCCAAGGCTTGCCAAGTCCTTTGAGGTTGCTTTATGGCTACATCTGCTGCTGTTACAGGCCAAAAGCTGCACTGCCCAGAAGCCCCAGCACCACCTTGGGGTCTCTCAGTGCCATGGTTTCTGGGCTTTGTAGTTGTGATTCAGACAAGCACAAAGAACCCCTTATTTTTCCTGTCACCTGGAGACACCGGCCCTCGTTTTCCCAGGGGCTGGCCAGAGTCTGTGCCTGGAGGGTTGGGACATGGGGCAGAGCCTGCTTGCAGTGCCTTGTTCCTGCTCCACAGACAGCAGGGGATGGAGCAGTGAAAGCTGTTCTTCCCCAGAAGCCTGGGTTTTATTGGTCAATCCTTTTCTCATCAACACAACCTGACTGACAAAGCCCAGCAAGTTTTGGTACTTTCGCAAGGCAACTTTTTTCTCTTTTTATTTTATTAAATTAAAAATATGCTGCATATAGTGCCATGGGCATAAATGTGGGTTTTTTTCAGTTGGTTGGGGATTTTTTTTCACGTACCTGGAAGGAGGGAAGAGATTTCCAACTCCTCCTGTGTCTCTAGTCTCTCTGGGACAGCAACGTTATCTTTCCAAATACAGGTGCCTCTTTCTGTCTTTGCCAAGGCTGGTATCAACCAGGCTTGCACTCAAAGCTGCAAGGGCTGATAGGAGATCCTTGCGGAAACAACTGGGGAAGCACAGCCAGGTTTGGAAGACTGCTTATGCTGGTGGGCAGGTGAAGAAACCATTAGCCTGAGCCTAGTTTGGCTCCTAGGTTCCCTGTATGGTGCAACTTAAGGAATTCCCAGTGGGTGTAGCTACCAAGAGGTGATACAGAAGCCTACTGTGCACCTGCCAGCTAGGGCCTCTGGTGCTGTAGCACTTTGTAGGATGTACTGCAGCAGCTAGAGCCAGGAAAGGCTTGAGGTGTGCATGGTCTGTCCTCCTGGTACATGTGGGAAGCCTGGTGAAAAGCCCTGTAGGCAAGGGTGGGTCTGGCATCAGAGACAGGACTGGGGCATAACACAGCTAGGGAAAGAAAGGGGATACTTGGGTGAGGGTTACAAGAGAAACAGAGGAGAAGAGGGACAGTGGATATCTGGAGGGGATACCAGAGCTGGTGCTGAGCACATCCCAGCCTTCAGAGCACTTTGCACTCCAGCAGTTTTATCTGTGCTCCTTTTCTAGCTCTGAGCTTTTGGAGGTGCCTGTGCAACCTCACAGCTTTTCATCCTGCCCTACAAATTCGCCCAAATGTCTGCACCCACCATCTGCTGACAAACTGAAAATAGAATCCTTTGATTAAAAACAAACCACAAAAACCCACATTGCCAGGTTAGGAATAGGATACAGTAGGATAACCTAATTTAAATGAAGATTTAAGCAAAACATTAGTGGAAAAAAAACCCCCAAGACATTAACTTGAAAAGTTAATTTTTATTAATTCCATATTTGGCAACACCTTCCTATCCAGAGAGAAATCCTAGTTATTAACTAATTGCTAGCTTAGCTCCACCACTGCCCTAGCTGCACCCACATAGCTGCCATAGTGGCAGCACAGTCAGTGTCAGTTGGAGATGGATACTGGCTAAAGCCCATTCGATTTTGCGCCTGTGACAGCTGGCATGTGGGCAGCAAGAGAATGTAATGCTGGTTTCACTTTTCTCTGACAAACCCCAAGGGCCATTGTGGCCAGGGGTGACAAACCTCACAGAGTGTGAGCTCAGTGCAAGGGGCAGCTCAGTGAGAAGTGATGGCCCAGGCTTGTCATCTAGGACACAGATGGAAAAAAGCCAGATACTGCCCAACACCCAATGGCTGCAGAAGAAAAGGCAGATTGGAGGTGGGAGGAAAGGAGTTGAGTCTTTGGCCCAACAGCTGAAGAGAGTTAGCTTGACTACAGTCCTGAGCTGTCACTCCACACCCTGCTCCACACTGCAGTGGAACAGGCAGATGGCTCCTGCCACTGTCCTGCTCCAGAGGTGCTCAAATCAAACCAGCCAGCAGCAGCCCAGGCTCAGACCCTGGCACAGCTCACCCAGCTGACCCACACAGATTGGAAGTTAGCTCCCAGGCTGGGGGGCATGCAGTGCTCCAGGTGGAGAACTACTGCTCCATTGGAGATGATCCCACCTGTACAGCAGGTCATGTGTTCCTTCCACCCACTTCATCTTGCCAGGGCATGGAAGAGATAAAGATCACCTAAACCAGGGCTCAGAAAAGCAGTCAGGGCACAGGGGAGAGCAACACAGGAGAGTCCAATACCCTCAAGGCACAGGCTGAGACATTTTCCTCAGCAGAGCAGGCATGAAACACAAGGGACCCTGCCATGTAAATCATCAGTTCTTTAATTCCAGTAGAACAAAAAAAAAAAACCAAAAAAAACCCCCAAAAAATGCAGAAAAATAATCAAACAAAACTCATCCAAAATACATTGTGCTATTCTGGGGCTTCAGGGAGGCAGAGGTTCAGAGGAAGGGCTCTCCCACCCCAATGGCATAAGGACAGTATTTGATGCCTTCTGGTAACATGGGACACTCCGTGAGGGGGTGAGAGGAAGCCTAATGCTTCCTCACACCTCCAGTCCCCATCAGCTGTTCCTACACAAGTAGAAAGACACAGAACAGACAGACCTCAGGCTACCTGAATTATTACTAACAAAAAGGGAATCATGCCCTCCTGCACCCTGACAAAAACAACCCCAACCAAACACAGCCAAAAGAACAGACACCACCAAGAAGTCAGTAGCAGCTGGTGGACACAGACCATCTTCTAAGCAGACATGACAGAGCAGAGGTCTGGCAGGTGAAGGAAGAACCTCCTTCAGTCTACCTCTTCCATGCGGGATGTATCTTCATCTCCCTCCAGAGGGGGGATTTCCTCAGGGACAGCTGTACTCGGCTCCTCTGCAGTCATCTCATCTTCATCAATGCCTGGGAGAGGGGAGAAAAGAAGAGATAAGGCCTCCAAATGACACCTGATCTCAGATATACAGCCTCTCCCAGAGTAAACCTGGCTCCTGCCTCCAGCCTGAGGAATGGGGCTATTAGCATCCAGTAGTTCACAGAATCATAAAATATTGATTTGGAAGGGACCCACAAGGATCACTGAAGTCCAGCTGCTGGCTCTACACAGGACAGCCCCAAGAATCACACCATGTGCCTCAGAGTGTTGTCCAAACACTTTTTGAATGCTGGCAGGCTCAGTCCTGTGACCACTTCCCTGGGGAGTCTGTTCCTTGGCCAACCACTCTCTGAGTGAAGAACCTTTTCCTAATATCCAACCTAAACGTCTCCTGACAAAGCTTCATGATGTTCTCTCAGGTGCTGTCACTTGTCACCAGAGAAAAGATATCAATGCAGGCCTCTCTGCTTCCCCTGGCAAGGAAGCTGAACACTGCAGTGAGGTCACCCCTCAGTCTCTTTTCCTCCAGGCTGAAAACTAATAAATGAAAGTCAACATTATTACAAGTTATTGTGAACTCCAGCACTAATCCTGAATCAGTAGCATCCTTCCAGTAGCATCTACACTAGTATATGGATACTACCTATGGCATTAGAGTGCACTCTGTAAGCGGCAGAGATTAACTACAAAAGATTGTCACCCAGCACCACAAAACCTGTAGTTTAAGCCAGGAGAATGTGGTTTAAGCCATGAACATTTCTCTAGAGAAAAATGCAGTAAATCCAGTCAAGTCACAACTAAAGCAATTGCAGGATTCTAGAGCTCATCAGTTTCTAACACTGCAGGTTGCTGTTTCAATAGACTCTGAACAGAAAATTGTACTACCATACAGTCCCTTTACCTGCAACTTGACTAACAGAACACTCTAGTCCTACTGTGACTAGGCAGCACAGAGTTACTAACTTAGTTGTGCTAAGCCACAACACCTCCTGATTTACATTTTTAGCTAAATAGTGAATTTGGAGGAAAAGGCTGTGTGCAAGCATAAGCTGTTTCACCAGATGGGTCACATCATCCATGACAGACTTTTCACATTTACTCTGAAGGAATAAAAAGCCTCAGTTTGTCATCTGAACATCCTAGTGGTGGCTCCTGGTGTTGTGGAGGACAGGGCAGTCCACCCAGAGTCCTGAGCCTTCCTGAAGTACCTTGTTCCAGGTTTATACTTTCTTGTGGCCATCTTATGTACAGAGCCACTTCAGCACATCATAGCAGCATGGCTCCCTTACTGGCCACCCCCTGCCCCAGGACACTAGCCTGCTTTCAGGCCTTGCTGCAGGCTTGACAAGTTGCATGGATACTCACCAAGCCCAAGTTTAATCATCCTGTAGATGCGGTTGGAGTGGGTCTGGGGATCTTCCAGGGAGAAACCAGAGGACAGCAGAGCAGTCTCAAAGAGTAGCACCACCAGATCTTTAACAGCTTTGTCATTCTTGTCAGCATCAGCCTTCTGGCGAAGGGTTTCCACAATTGGGTGATCAGGGTTGATCTCCAGGTGCTTCTTGGCCATCATATAGCCCATGGTAGAGTTGTCCCGCAGTGCCTGAGCCTTCATGATGCGTTCCATGTTGGCTGTCCAACCATAGGTGCTGGTGACAATGCAGCAGGGAGATGAGACCAACCGGCTCGAGACAGTGACCTGCCAACATAGCCAAGGGTTAGCTGTGCAAGGCCCCCATAAGCCCTGGACCGGGCCCAGCCAGAGCACACTACAGCCCAAGTCTTTGCCTCTCGTTCACCTGGGAACACCCCCCAAAGCAAGCAGAAATGCTCCAAGCAGCCCCAGGACTGCTGCACAGACTAATGTGGCCAGCTGCACTGCACATTTCTCACACCTACCCTCTCCCATCAATATACATATTTGGGTCAGTGCCCCTTGCCTGCAGCCTGTCTGCTTAGAGCAAGATAGTGCATGCTGAGACCTCCAGCCTCCTTTAGGAGCTCCTCTAAAGGAGATGAGAGGCATGCATTGAGCTGGGGCCTTCACCTGCACCATGGAGGACCCAGCCCTCCTCCCTCCAGCCCGTGGCTAAACTCCCTGCCCACCCATCTCACCTTCTCCACCTTCTTGTCCAAGATTTCCTTCATAAGTTTGCAGAGGTTCTCAAACTTGGCCTTGCTCTCCTCCATCTTTGTTTTCTCTTCCTCATCTTCAGGCAGCTCTAGCCCCTCTTTGGTGACTGATACCAGAGTCTTGCCATCAAACTCCTTGAGCTGCTGCACGCAATACTCATCGATGGGCTCTGTCATGTATACCACCTCAAAGCCACGCTTCCGCACACGCTCCACAAAGGCTGAGTTAGCAACCTGCTCCTTACTCTCCCCTGTGTTTGTGGACGTTAGAAATGAAACATCACCAAGAGGTAATAGATAAACAGTACCAGTCACTTGGGACCCCTAACAAAAAACTGATAGCAGTCAGGGTTCTAGGCCTGGTGGCCTTTCCCAAGCCCCCAGGAATGAGGTGTAATTCAGCAGGGATGATCTGCTGAAGGCAGCAGGAGGTGTTTTAAATTAGGGTTTGTATGCAAGCTACCTGCCTCTACCTTGCTAGGCTCAGAGGACCTCTGGCTCACCTGTGATGTAGTAGATACTCTTCTGGTTCTCCTTCATACGGGACACATACTCAGAAAGTGAAGTCACCTCATTGCCTGAGTGGGATGTGTGGTACCGCAGAAGCTCCGAAAGGCGCTTTCGGTTGGTGGAGTCCTCATGGATGCCCAACTGGGGGCAGAAGAAATGCATAAAGTATCCAGGATAGGACTTGGATGCACTTGGCCATCCCTGAGGCACAGGCATCTGCCCAGCTCCTGATCATTTGAGTGTTTGACCTAGGGCAGCCAGATGCCCACAAAGGCACTCTAAGACATTTGCAAGACCCATTCCTTTTATCCTAACATCCATGCAGAGGAGACACAACATAGGAACAAGATTGCTCCTCAGGCAGATGGGCCCTTCCCTCCTCCAGGTACAGGGTGTCCAACTCACCTTTAGATTCTTGGAAAAAGCCTCATAAAATTTCTTGTAGCTCTCTTTGTCTTCTGCCAGCTCTGAAAAGAGCTCCAAGCATTTCTTCACAATGTTTTTGCGGATCACTTTGAGGATCTTGCTCTGCTGGAGCATCTCACGAGAAATATTCAGAGGAAGGTCCTCTGAGTCCACAACACCCCTGATAAAGTCTGCATAGGAGGAATGAAAACAGGTGTCAGGTTAAGGATTCTGAGCTTCAACACAGAAAGAAAAGAGCTAAAACACTGACTGCTATGCACCCACACCAGCTAGCGCCTCATCCAGTCCCTTTGTACTAGAAGCAATACCACAGGCTGTGGGGATCCCAGCTCTGCACAAGGATAGTGAGGCAGGGGGCTCTTACTTAGGTATTCAGGGATGAGCTCGTCACAGCTGTCCATGATGAAGACCCGCCTCACATACAGCTTAATGTTGTTCTTCTTCTTCTTGTTCTCAAAGAGGTCAAAAGGGGCACGGCGTGGGATGAAAAGCAGGGCCCTGAACTCCAGCTGCCCTTCCACAGAGAAGTGCTGTGGAACCAGGAAAAAAAAAACAGCTTCTGGGGTGCTTAACTTCTCCTTTCCCCAGCTCCCACAGTAGCAAGGCTGAACTGCCACTCCTCAGCACTGGGACTGACAAGGGGGCACACACAGCATCATCTCTAGCATCCAAGCAACCTGCATTTCCTCCTGCTCAGGCCCACTATCCCCTGTGTGTCAAGGTTTTCTGGCATACAGCAGGCTTGGACAGAGAAGTCAGTCTTCTCTGAGACCCTACATCCTCCTGTCTTCCTTATGGACTGGCACTGCCAATCCTTCCATCTGCATAGGAGTCACAGTGCAGGTTGCTCCATCACCAAGTGGTCTAAGAGTGCTCAGTCCCACAGAGGCATAACCATGTGGTGACTCTGGATAAGGGCTGGAAAGGGGCCCTCAACCTCTCCCTGCAAGGCACGGTAGCCCAGCACTCACCTTGACAGCCAAGTGGTCCTCCCAGTCGTTGGTGAGGCTCTTGTAGAACTCGCCATATTCTTCCTGGGTGATGTCATCAGGGTTGCGGGTCCAAATTGGTTTGGTCTTGTTCAGCTCCTCCTGGTCAATATATTTCTCCTTGATTTTCTTGGTCTTTTTCTTCTTGCCTTTGTCTCCCTCCTCCTCATCAGAGCCCACATCCTCAATTTTGGGTTTCTCTTCATCTTTGGACACTGACTCTTCCTCCTTCTCATCTTTCTCCTCCTCTACTTCATCATCACTGATCTCTTTCTCACGTTCTTTCTCCAGCTGTGGAGAAACAAACACACAGTAGTCAGGTTTAGCCCCAAGTTACCAAGAATGCTTCTGCTCCAGATGAGAAAAATGGTCCTCCAAGGCCAAACAAATGCTTCATCTGGAATCAAAAGTCT